AAACGTACCCCATCGGCTTTTTTATTTCTGATATTTCAATTGATAGTTTTTCACTGCGTACTAAAATTTATGTTGTTAAGTCATTATGTAATCAAATTGTATTAGGTTTGGATGTATTGAGTCAGTTTAACTTCTCTTTTACCGAGAATGGCCTTCAAATAATTTTTCATCGGAATAAAAGTAATGTAAACTTGATAACTGCTGAGTCATCTCGAAATTCTAACGTTCGTTGCGTTATGGGAAATTTGAATATTGCTGTCTCATTGAAGAATGTTTATGATCCTTCGCAATCGTCTGGCGTCTCTGTTAATGTAAACAAAAGTCCCCGAAAGAGGAAGTAGCGCGACGTTTAATTACCTTTCACATCTGGTGAATGCTATTTCTGTCAACGAGATTGATTTATCGCATATTTCGAATGTAGAACATAAAGAAAGACTGTGTAATTTAATTAATTCGTACCAGCCTCGCAAAAATAGGCAATCTGGCTTCAAGATGCAAATAAATATATGCGATGATATACCTGTCCGTCAAAATAGAAGATACATGTCTTTCGCGGAACAAAAAGTTGTTGACGATCAAATTAAGGAATGGTTGAAAGAGGGCATAATAAAGCCTAGCAATTCTAATTATTCGGCGCCTATTGTTTTGTGTAACAAGCGTGATAATTCGAAACGTTTATGTATAGATTATCGGAAATTAAATAAGAAGATTATTAAAGACAAATTTCCACTGCCTTTAATTCCGGAAGTACTTGATCGCTTAGAACAATCAAAAGTCTTCACGACACTAGATTTGTAAAATGGCTTTTTCCATGTAGACATAGACGAAAATTGCACCAAATATACCGCATTTGTAACACATAATGGTATCTACGAATTTCTTAAAGCTCCTTTTGGTTTATGTATTAGTCCAAATGTTTTTCAAGGTATATTTATTCAGTATTTCGTGACTTGCTAAATGAAGGTGTACTAATTATTATATGGATGATTAGTCATACCGGCTAATGATGAAGTTGAATGTTTAGACAAATTAGAAAGAGTATTCAAAACTGCTTCGGAGTATGGATTACAAATAAATTTCAAAAAGTGCCAATTCTTAAAACGTAAAATTGAATTTTTGGGACATGTAATCGAAAACGGAACTATTCGACCATCGCCTTCCAAAACTGTTGCTGTTCGAAACTTTCCGCAACCGCGTAACTGTAAACAACTACAAAGCTTTCTAGGACTAACGGGATATTTTCGTAAATTCATTCCTCAGTATGCTAAAATAGCTAAACCTCTTAGTGACTTACTTAGAAAAGGTATTGGTTTTAAGTTCGATTCCGAACAACAGGAAGCGTTTTGCAGATTAAAAGAAATTCTCTCTCAGGCACCTGTTCTACACATATTTAGGCAAGGATATCCATTAGAACTTCATACTGATGCTAGTAGTCAAGGCTTTGGTGCGGTATTACTCCGATTGTCATGATGGTAATTATCACCCATCCAGTATATGAGTAAGAAGACTTCACCGCAGCAAGAGAAACTCTGTAGTTACGAATTAGAAGTCCTTGCAGTAATAGAAGCTCTGAAGAAATTTCGAAACTATTTGTTAGGGACTAAATTCAAAATTGTAACTGATTGTAGTGCTTTTCAGAAAAACTTAGATAAGAAAGATTTAACTCCTAAAATTGCAAGATGGGCAATGTTTATTGAAGAATTCGATTACGAAATTGTACATCGTTCAGGAAGCCAAATGAAACAGCTGATGCTTTAAGTAGAAATGCTCTAATTTTAACATCATACACATCCGATGTAACTGAGAAGATTCGGTTAGCACAACAACAAAATGAAGATGAACATGTGAAATTGATAAAGAATTTAGTTGAGAAGGGAGAAGAAATGGATTCTTCCTGAGAAATGGTATTTTGTACAAATTTGGAAAATGGAAAAGATCAGCTGGTAGTGCCAGAAATCCATTACAAGTACGAAATCATACAGAAAGTGCATAAAAAAGGATCACTTTGCTGTAGAGAAAACTGTGAATGCCGTAGAGCAAGAATTCTATATTCCCAGACTGAAATGCAAAAGTTGAAAAGTAATTGCAAACTGTATAGAATGTATACTATACAACAAGAAGCAAGGAAAAGAAGACGAATTTCTTCATCCTGTACCGAAAGAAAACGTTCCCTGAGTACGTATCATATCGATTTTATTAGACCTCTTCCATCGACGAACAAGAGATACCAATACATTTTAACTGTTGGTCGAGGGTTTTACGAAATTCACTTGGTTCTATCCAGTGAAATCACCAAACTACGCAAGAAGGCATTTCAAAATTGAATGCAACAACATAGTGTATTTGGGAATCCAGCCAGAAGTCATTTCTGATCGAGGTAGTGCCTTTTACATCGAAAGAATTTTCATCTTATTGCACGGAAGAAGGCATAGAACATGTTAAAATTACTACCTGATATTCCAAGAGGTAACGGACAAATTGAGCGAATCCATAGAATTTTGATTCCTGTTTTGTCAAAATTATCACATGAAGATTCAACGAAATGGTTTAAGTATGTTCCAGATGTCCAGAGGATAATCAACAGTACGACTACGAGAAGTACGAAATATTCACCGTTTGAGCTTCTCATAGGCACGAAAATGAAGAATAAAGAAGATTTGAGAATTGGTGAGATATTGAATGAAGAATATCGAAAACAATTGATACAAGAACGTGATGAAATGAGAGAAGATGCTAAAAACAACATTTTGAGGATTCAAGAAGAGAACCGTAAACAATTCAATAAGAAACGTAAGAAACCGAAACTATACAAGATTGGCGACTTGGTAGCCATTCAGAGAACTCAATATGGGACTGGTTTGAAACTACGACCTAAATTTCATGGACCGTATAAAATCATAGCTGTTAGACCAAATGACAGATATAAAGTCGAGAAAACGTAGGATGCCATGGAAGGACCGAATTTGGACATCTACTGCGGATGACCATATCAAGCCATGGTCAAATTGATTTAATGTTTGTATCAGCTCAAAGCCTAAGGAACCTGATAGTTTTTTCTTTTTTATTTATTTTTTTTTTTAATTCTCTTTGCAGGTACGTCATGATGGATACGTCATGTCCACTCAACAGACATCGAGGACGATGCCTCTTCAGGCTGGCCGAAGCTGTGGGAAGTCATCAACGTCCCGATGCTGAATTAGAATACCAGGATTATGATGTCATCAGTATAGCATCACCAGCGCAGTAAGAATCATCCCAGGCAGCGGGAGACAGCGTTGAGACCGTGGTCGAGAGCGGAGAGCGGACGTGAGCAGACGGCTCACTCGTCTTCAAAAGTTTATGAATTTAGATTGTGCTTTTGATGTTATACGCCTTTAGTTGTGACGATTTTAGATGGTTCATACTATTTGAAGCTACGCTGGGAACCCTTATTGTATCAACGCCGACTGTTGGTTACTAATTGAATGTGATAAAGACTCAGGACTGCTAATATGTATCATATAATCATTATGTTAATCCTGCATACCGTTAACTTCATCTTTATATACTTTTCTTAATTACTTTTATTTATTTCTATTAACTAAACCATTTAAATATTACTTCGTGCTCTCATGTTGTGAATTAAGTCAAACTCTACATATATGTGGGGAAAAATAATATTTTAAAGATAAATAGTATTTTTAAGATAAAAAGTATTTTTAAGATAAAATTTGCCGAGTCTTTTGAATTAATTCCCTTATCATCAATTAAGTTACGTTTTAGTTTCATGCTTAACTTTATTTGTAGAATTTCTGTCTGCCAGAATATGGCCAAAATGTTCTTTATTGCAAAGCAGTCTTTGCAATATTTCTCTGAACAGTGTTGTAAAACAAGGATTTGAAAGCTTTTTAAAAATCTGTTTTGCAATTACAAGTATCTGCTCATGTTCCAAATGGAACACATAATATATGTGGGGAAAATAATATTTTTAAGATAAATAGTATTTTTAAGATAAAAAGTATTTTTAAGATAAAATTTGCCGAGTCTTTTGAATTAATTCCCTTATCGTCAATCAAGTTACGTTTTAGTTTCATGCTTAACTTTATTTGTAGAATTTCTGTCTGCCAGAATATGGCCAAAATGTTCTTTATTGCAAAGCAGTCTTTGCAATATTTCTATGAACAGTGTTGTAAAACAAGGATTTGAAAGCTTTTTAAAAATCTGTTTTGCAATTACAAGTATCTGCTCATGTTCCAAATGGAACACATAATATATGTGGGGAAAAATAATATTTTAAAGATAAATAGTATTTTTAAGATAAAAAGTATTTTTAAGATAAAATTTGCCGAGTCTTTTGAATTAATTCCCTTATCATCAATCAAGTTACGTTTTTGTTTCATGCTTAACTTTATTTCTAGAATTTCTGTCTATCAGAATATAACCAAAATGTTCTTTATTGCAAAGCAGTCTTTGCAATATTCTCTGAACAGTGGCTTAAAACATAGATTGGAAAGCTTTTTAAAAATCTGTTTTGCAATTACAAATATCTGTTCATGTTCCAAATGGAACATTTAATATATATATATAGAAAAAATAGTATTTTAAAAATAAATACTTATACAAAAAGTAGAGACTAAAAACAGCATATAAAGCATATCTGCAAATTTTTCGCTTTTATAATTACCTCCAGAAAAAAAAAAAAAAAAAAAAAAAAAAAGAAAAAGAGTCTTGATAGGCATTTTAGAAACAAGTCCAAAGGCTGACAGTTAAACTTCGATTGTGTTCTCTAGTTTAAACAATAGGTTACATAATCTTTATTACGTGATAAAACAGTATGGTAGAAGGTGGAGTGTACATAAAACATTATCATGCATGATTTCTGGGCTCACAAAAGTGAGTGAGATAAATTCGTATAATTAATGATAAATTTAAAGTAAAAAGGGTAGAAGTTTATTATAACTTCCAGGAAGAAAAATCCACGTTTATTTGCAAGATGGAACTTATACTGATATTGCTAAATTTTGCGCTATTAGTGGTAGGGCTGATTATTTGTATACTTGTAGTGCTGTATGTTTGGTTCAGTACATCTAAAACGGCTAATAGCTACGGCGATTTTCCTACATATGGTGCATCAAATCCTCTTTTAGTTTTTTGGCAGTATTATCAACAAGTACGAAACTTCAAACGATTTCCATTACCCGCGCGTAAGTAGCTTATGAATTACATTATTTTTCTTATTACATAGGCATTTAGTCTGAAAGCGCTTTTAAATTTGACAATTCCTAATAAAAGTTTCCAGTTGGTTACGAAGATATGTTGTGTGCTATATTTTAGAATTGAATAACGAGCCTAACTGTTATTATATAATTTTCTTACATTAATCATATTATGTGCTGCATTTTTATTTCCTTATACGAAGTAAAAGAAGTATTGCAATCGCGAAAAACTTAAGATTGTAGAGTCATTAAGTTATTTTTAAAGCAGCAGTGATGAAAAATGAGCAACGCTCTCGCCGGTAATCGAACCACGGTCCTCTGGAATACGCGCCAAGCGTGCTGACCACTACTTGACACTACGAAGGCATGCTAAGAAGATGGGAGAAATACCTTATATACTTCTTCTTTCAAAGAACGACTGGGGTTTTAGGGAAACCAGTCGCCATATCCTGGTGGTGAAGAATCACCATTCACCACCCCTTAGTTCGGGCGCCACTGTAGAGACATTAGGTATTTTGGAAGCGGGAGTAATGAAAAATAATAAAAGCCCTTTCCTGGAATCGAACCACGGACCTCTGGAATACGCGCCCAGCGTGCTGATCACTACACTACGAAGGCATGCTAAGAAGGCGGGAGAGATACCTTGTACAGTATCATATTTCAACGCAAATATCCATTTCAAAGGCTGTCGAATCCCTTTGTGAGACATCTATAAACAGAATAAAGGACTGCTTTTTGCCAAAACGTACTGTAAAATGGATTTAAAACGGATTCAAAAGAGATTTTTTCTTGACATCTGTGCGTACCTACATATGTATATATCTCGCATAACTCAAGAACGAGAAGCCGTAGAACGTGAAATTTGTACATGGGGAGTGCTATAACATGTAGTTGTGCATCTCCCTTTTTTGTTGCAATGGGTCGCACTAATCGTCTATATATATATATATATATATATGATATACCAACTTTTGTCCGGAATAAATAGATTGGTGAAGAATCATAGATGTAGTCGTAGGTTAAATTATCAGACGATAAGTTTAAAAAACAGGATCCATTTATTATTGGTCAGGAGAAATAGCAGTTACAAAAAAGTCATATTTCCGAAATAAATAAAAAAGAATTACTAATAACTTTTTGTATGAAGCATCGTTACAGTAAAAGCCCCCGATATTCCTTTGCGAGTCCTTTTATAGCCTCTTTAAAGGCGGAGCTTCCAAGAAATGACGTCAGCCTCGTCAGCCATTCCAGTTCGCTTTAAATATTTCCAGAACATTCTATAACTGTACGTGTAGAAAAGGCGGGAAAAACAACTTGACTACGGGGCTGTGGATTTAATTCCACGTACTTTCAAATAAGAGACCGTCGCCATTAAAAATGAAAAGAACATATAGTTAGAAATTTAAGTGTATTCTTGACTATGGAATTTCATTATTACCTATATATATATATATTCTCCCCCTGTTACCTGGCTTGGTGAGCTTAGTTTTCTTCCATGTTGGTAATCTGCGCATTTTTTGCTTTCAAAGTAATAATGTAACTTTTATGTTCCGGTTAATGTTTTTACGCCTTTAGTTAATCTGCATGCAATTATTGTAGAATTATCAAGAATTTAAAACTTTAGTGAATTCAGTTTCTGCACCTTCAATGTCTTTTTAGCGAGTGTAACCAAAAGTAAACTTTCAGTTTTGTGCACCTAAAATCTGCCTTCTTGCCCGCTAGCCGAATTGCTTCGTTTTGCATAGAAACTCATATTTTCCTTGTAAAAACTATTTTTTGACCTGTTTTAAATGTATTTTGGGTTTTATGGTTACAATTTTGAATGAAGATGTTCTGAGTTTTTATGCATTTTTGCTTTGCCGTGAATTGAGAATAGAATTAATTGAATGAGAAATATATCCCTGGTAAAATTCGAGAAATAAGTTTAAATGAAATGCAGCAAAAAATATGTATCAATATTTAATAAGCCAAACAGGGAAGTTATAGAAGGTCCACATGAGAATCTTTCAATACAATAGGCTAAGGAAAAGAAAATATTTTCATGAAAAGCGTAAGAAGAGAGATAATGCAGTTACCAGGAATCTTTTACCATATTTATCGATATATATATTTTGCAAAAAAAAAAAAAAAAAAAAAAATCATTTGTATATCAACATTTCTTTTTATGACCTGATAAGAAATTTATAAATATTACAAGCATGGTTAAAACCTATTATATTTTTAAATAATCATATTGGAAATTAAAATGGATTATGCATTCGCGATATCCCCCAAAACAATTTTAGTTATTTTTTAACTATATTGATCATTTGTGAGTTTCTTAAAAGTAATAAGATTGTTTCGTCAGCCGAAATCTCACAAATATTAATTTTAAATTACCTGAATATTTTCCAGGCAAATCTCTTCACAAGATTTAAGTATTTTATTTCTTCAAAAGTGCAGATTCCTATTATTATATTAATGTGAAAATTTAATTTGTAATTTCAATAATGCAATCTTAGGAATAAATATTAAAAAATATAAAGTTTGAAAGCTTTCAGATTATATATTACGCCCAAAGGGGCCTTTTAAACATTTTGTATGTTACCTTCATTTATTAAGGACGTTCTGAGCACTTAAAAATTCAATTCCACAGCAATATCACAAAATGTTTTAAATGAGCATATCTTAAGAATTTCCGATACACAGTCTTGCGCTGGAGATAAAAATCTTTTTTTCTTCGTACAGTGTTGCCATTGCCAGCTTTGAAATCGTTGAGTTTGTTAATCAAAAATTCGTTAACGTTTTACAAAATATGAAACAGATAATAGAACAATTTCCAAATTCGGGCTTCCAGATGCCCATATTCGTGTGGAGGACTACGGTATACAAAATTTGATGTTCTTAGGTACTGTTTTTTTTTTACAATGCCAGAAGCATACATACATTCATGCAGATTCTTCATTATTTAATTTTTTTTAAGTAAAATGCAGGGCACTAATATTTTGTGGCAACAATTTTAAAAGTGAAACTCCATTTTATAGTGGGCAACGCAAAATGCAGGAACGAAATTAATAGCCTTTCTGGGCAAACTGTTTCTTTGAGTACATCCAAACACATGAACACGGATAGATATGCAGCATAGGACATTGTCCTTCTTAGACGAACTTTGAATCTGCATTGATATTTACAATTGTGAGGGTGAAGTCTTATCATCAAACAGAGATCACACTCACGATTCAAAGTATCAGGTTTTATTCCTGAATTTTAGAAGAAAAGATAAACGGAATGAGTATGTACAAATGGATTAAATATGTTTAGGAGAGTAATCACACTGGTTCCACTATGGAGATGTAAAAGTCACAGCTGACCACCTAGGTGCGGTCACTTTAGATAAGTTCCAAGTCCGATCGCCTAATGAAAAAAAAAAAAAAAAAAATAAGTAAAACTAAATAGAAGGTAGTTTAAAACTTAAAATATAGCTTTATGTACAAAATTGGTGACTCAATAATTGAATTCTTCATGAAAGTTCATTTATCAGATTTAGGGAGCTGATGTTACAAAATAAAATTTCAGGCTTGCTTGATGAACATAATTTTATAAAAATATGTCGCAATATTTAAAAAACTTATGATATTCTAAGATAATGCTTAAGGATAATATATAATATAATATAAAATATATATAATATAATATTTAATATATTTAAAAAACATTTCATATTTCATAATATTTAAAAAACTTTCAATATATTAGATAATATTTAAAATATATTAGGTAATATTTTAAATACATTAGAAAATATTTTAAAAACTTGTAATATTTTAACATTAATACCATGATAGCAAATATACCTTTGTGCGAAAAATCCTCGAAAGTCAAGTAAAAGTTATTTTCTTGGAAGCCTAGCTTCTTCCAATCAAATATAAAACCCAGCTGGTCATTTTGCGAAATGGCTGGTTTCAGTCACTTAAGTCGTAACACATCATCTACAGACCAGATACCATTATAATAAATCTATTGCAAATTATGACGAGATAATTTATGCTTGCGACAATTAGTTTAAATATATAAATGGACAATATTGGTATGGAATATAAGCGATTTCCAATTTCAGAAGCAGAAACATTAGTGTCATTCGAGCAATTACCAATATATACAACGCCTACATGCTATGAAATAAGGGACGAGGAAGTTCGCTTCTGTGCGTTTGATAAAGTTAATTAACAGAACGCCTCGGTGCAATATCTTTAATTATAAATCCACTAACATTACTTAGACATATATTTATTTACATATGAAAGCATCTTTTAAAAACTTTTAACTACCTCACTCAGAAATAGATGTAGGAAAATCCCATTAAAAATATTTAACTGTGACTGTAATAATTATAATAGTTAACGACGCAATTTATTCTGAAGCGAATTAATGCTATTGGATATTTTATTTCCCACTATCGCTATCATCGGTTAACTTTAGAGAAGTCGTAAAATCAGTAAATGGTAATTGGGAATGGTAGTGGTTACTTTAGCAAACTAAATATTTAAGTTTAAGGAAAATAAACTTGGATTCTTTGGGGTTCATATTTTATTGTACGGAGTTAAACTCACACTTTCAAGAGGCACTTGGTAAGTACTTTAATGTTATTTTAAGTTTTATGCAGTGTCCAGCAATCATGAAAGTGCTACATATTTTTCTTCTGATTTTTAATTTAGTTGCATTTGTTTTAGCTAGTTACTAAGCAGCTCGAACGCGCTGATTTAATACCTGTAATTAATAGACTCCCAATGAAGTTAGAAAGTAAATATAATCCAGCTTATTAAAATATTATTTATAAGAGCAGATTCATTAGAATGCATTGATTACAGAGGAGAAAATAATTCAGTTTTTTAGATAATTAATAGACTGCCAATGAAGTTAGAAAGTAAATATAATCCAGCTTATTAAAAATATTATTCATAAGAGAAGATTCATTAGAATGCATTGATTACAGAGGAGAAAATCATTCAGTCCATTAGATAATTATTCACTTATGCTTAAGAAATATAAAGTTTTCAAAACTTAAAAGAACTTTAACAATTACAAAAATTCAAAATAGTATTTTATCGCATTTTTATCATTTTAGTTTATGTAATTATAACAAATCAGAGAGGAGAATCTGACTTAAAAGTTCAAAATCTTGCAATTTAACAAAACAAAAATCGGTATTTTTAGTCCAAAGGGATTTGAATCCCGAAGGACTATTAGTTTCATTTTGCGTCGGACGGATAAATGTCGGTTCACTTTTCAAACTGTTGCCACAAAATGTTAGAGTCCTGCATTATATTTGAAGAAATTAAATAATGAAAAATCTGCATAAATGTATGTATATTTCTCGTATTGTGATAAAACAACGGTACATAGAGTCATCGAATTTTGAATAACGTAATCCTCCAACGAATATGAGCACGTGGAAGACCAAATTTGAAATTTGAAATTTGTTTTATGATCGATTTCCTATTTTTTAAAACTTTGACGAATTTTTGATTAACAAACTCAAGGATTTCAAAGCGAGCAATGGCAACGTTGTGCAGAAAAAACATTTTTATCTCCAGCGCGTGAGTCTCTGTATCGGAAATTCTAAAGATATGCTCGTTTTAAAACTTTTTGCGATATTGCTGTTGCACTGGATCTTATGGTTTAAGTGCGAGGAACATGATATTTAATAAAGAAAGGTAACACACAAAATGTTTAAAAACGCCCCTTTAGACGTAATTTAAAATCTGAAACATTTCAGATTTTTTATTTTTTATTTATTTTTTTTTTCAGTTTTCTTAAAGTTAGTTACGGCCAACGCTTACCTGTTCCAGTCCGAAGGGATATTCAAATTCTTTATTGGATTTACTCCTTATGTTTGCATTTACAAAACAGACTATGTCAAGGTAAGAAATGTGTAAGTTATACATAGTTGATAACTCAATGCTGAGTATGCTCGGCCACTGCAAAAACATTTCTTGGAAACGCTTTGCATTTAAAACTGCTTTAAAACCGCGTTGCTCTAAAGGCAGGATGGTTTCTTTCATTACGAAAGGTCACATACATTACCTAATAAGCAAAAGAAACGTCCTTTTACGTCCTTTCATTTCTATATTTAAATACGTCCAGAGCACCGATTCGAGGTAATTCATATGTTGGGTCATGCAAAGTAGCATAGTGAATACTTTTATTCTTGGCCCCTCAAGTATCCAAATCTGATTTTTAAAGAGTTGTGAAAGGTACTTCGCCAATTCAGATAACTGTTATAGTACTCCACTATTAGTATTAGTTGCTTAACATTTTTGGAATTTGGAATAAATTTTTATGACATACTTTACCTAAATAAGCAGTTCTCAAAGTGGTTCTTACGGACACTTAGTAGTCCATGCGTCTGCTGAGAGTGTCTGTGGAAAATGTAAATTAATTTCGAGGTGTATGATCAAAGTTGGGGTCGGCAAATGGTTTAATATGAAATAAAATAGTTTTGACTCTTTTTTTCGTTATTATGAAAGTTTACATAAATAGCAATAACTACGTTGGAAACAATTTTAAGTTCTGAGTACAATAAAACAAACTTTGTACCTTTTTACATATAACAGCATGAATGAACCGGAAAAATAAAACGTACACAATATAGTGCTAATTATTGAAATACGATTTTATTCCTTTACCCAAATACAGTAATTTAAATAGACTTCTTTTCAATAAAATGTTGTCAAACGAATCAATGAAGCTTGAGGAATATTTGACAAATGTCCATAGCAACAACAGAAACAAAAGATACAGATTTAACCCTTTTCTTAGAACAGTCAGAGAAAAGTATTTGACCGCACCGTTATTGCAACAACATTTCAGCGAAACGATAGTGGATTGCTTACTTCTTATATTTCTTCTCTGATTGCAAAATCGGAAAACCACATATCGTTGATGAAGATTTAATTTTACCGGCTATAAATGAGTTGCATAAACTAGCATTAGGTATTGTAAAGCCGCTAACACACATCCATTTGTTTCGAACAAACAACTTTTCAAGCAGTTTTTCTGTCAGTAAACTCGCACACTAACCAATCTATTTTATACCCACTGTATCCTCATGCATATTCTGTACTGTTTTGTAAGGATTATGTTAATTTTATTAACAGTTAAATTTTGAGTTAAACTTCTTTTTTTATCGATTCTTAATTCGAATTTACCACTTACTTTATCCTTTACCCTATACCCAAAGACGATAAAAAAAAAAATAGGTACTTTTCCATTTTGCCGGCGCATGCGATAAAGTCGCCAGAAATGGAAGGCCAAACGGAAAGAAATTCGCCAGAAATTACGATGCCAAACGGAATATCCTCGCTGGTAACCTCTTACGCTTGATTTTCAAAACACGTAGCAGCAATTTCTTATCGGATTGATTGTTTCTTTCAATACTGGTATAAAATTACATAGAATGTTTACGAGATAGTTCAATTTTATGCCCTAAGTGATAGAAATTACTTTCAATGTGTTATGCTTAGCTTCGCCGGCGCTGTGGATGTTGCTTCTTTTTCCTTCTGAAAAATCAAAATTTCTTCTTCGTTTTTGTGCTAAATAAAGTTTTTTAGAGCATATCTTGCTGATAACTCCAACTCCAACTTGCTTTATTAGCCGCGATTAACCTGCGAAATCGCAGGTTGTGTTCCGGCTATCGAACTTTGGTGCTTCTAGGAGCGCTGCAGGTAAGGAAATGCCGAACGTAGTTCTCGTGGAGACAGGATAGCAGATGCAGGGGGTGTGACCAATGTCACGTGATGAGCGATAAGACATCTGGTTGGCGATGAGGTATCCAGGCATCGTAGCGCTGTAAATCTGAAGTTTTACAGTAGTTATACATAAAATAGTACTAAATCAGTTCATAAAAGGTACTTGCTGATAACGTGATAGAAATTACTTAAATAGCAGATATATTTTGAAAATATAGTAGAATAAGCAAACCACAAATGCAATTAATAATAATAAGCAAACCACAAATTTGAAAGTAAGCAAACCACAAATGCACGTTACATGTTTAGTTAGCCAAGTATGATACATATGATGAAGAAGAACATATACAGAGGCTGTTCGCACATTTTTTAGACGATTTTGGTAAGCGGTAATAAAAACTCGTTTGCTGCAAAAGAAGTAATTGCAATTGTACTATGTTTTTAAAAGTCAAAATTATCGTCTGTGGCTTGAAAGTTTTGTTTTTATTCAAAATGGCGAATTTAACAAAACAGTTGTTCCAAGGCTACATTTACGCTCTTTCCGAAAGGAAATAGGCATACTCCGTTATCCAAAAACGATGTGAGAGTCATAGTTTTGTGATATCTAAAGCGTCGATAGGTAATATCATCAACAAGAAAGGGAAAAAACGTCAAATTGGAGCCTCAAGTGGGACAAAAATTCCAAGCAAGTATCCAAGGAAAATCGGACATCTTCGACTTTTGCAAAGGTACGTTGTTTAATGTTAAAATAAAATCCCCCTAGTCAAAGGACAGTTGCAAAATCATTAAAATGCTCGGTGTTCACTGTAAACAAAATGATAAACGTTGATTTAAATCTTAAGCTAAAAAAAGCAATGTGCATCGTCTTCTTCCAAGCATATCGCCAACGCAGGACACGCTGTAGAATTCTATATGAGAAACAGTTATCCAACGAAAAATGGAAAACAATTGTCACAATAGATGAAGCATGGTGTATTTAAATGATTGTAACAAAAAAAAAAAAAAAAAAAAAAAAGAGCCATTTATTATCATAAAAGGGGAAAAAAATTTAAGACATGGTTAAAGAATCGAAAGAAATTTTTCTAAGGGATTCATGGATGTTGCTGGTTTTTTATAATGGCAAGTTTAAAATAAGAGAGTGCAAAATGTCAGATAACTCCAAATATATCAGGAATATATTTTCGCCATTTTTCTGAATGAAATACCATCGCTTTACCACAGGCCATCCTCTGTGAGCCATCAGGACAAGCTAGCGTCACACATGAAAATCCACTGAATTTCCTAAAGAAATGGACAAAAAACTGGTATCAAGGTCATACCTTCACTGATATCCCTACTAAATCTCCCGATGTTCACCTATGGATTTTTATGCTTTCGAACTTTAAAACTGCATTATCCAAACGTTGTCCCAAAACCCTAACAGGACTCTGGAAAGCTGTTCGGGAGGAATGGGATAAAATGCCTCTTCTGCCACTTCAAAAGGCATTATTATCCTGGAAAATGCGCGCGATGTCGAAAGATAGTTCAGAATAAGGTATGTCAAATAGAACATTTAAAGCAGAAGCATTTTATGTAATTTAGTTTTGTGAATACAATATACATCGTCTAAAAAAATGTGTGAACAGCCTCATTAATGAAAAGGCGAAGGTAAGAAATCTGTTAATGTAGGTCAAATGTTACACTATTCAGTATTAAATTTCATATTCATATTTCAGTTGCTTAACACTGGGAAAAATGATTTGAGTAACTACTAATATCAGTTTGAAGACATTTTTTTACTTATATTTATATTTGAAGAGTTCTTTATTTTTTCTTTACAGACAATCCTTAGCAGCAGAATTGCCGATGATAAATCTGATGATTATGCTCTCTTTGAATCTGTTTTCGGAAACAGTTTATTCAACAGGTATATTTTATTTCAGTTATCTTTTATATTTAGAAAACTAAAAATATGTTTAAAAGAAACTGTGGTTTTGTGTACGTATTTTTTTTTAATTAAACAAGAAAAGGAAAATTTTTTTGTGGATTTGATAAAAATTGTATTGATTTTGAGGGCGATCAGACATAGGTCTCTCTTCTTCAAGAGGAAACAAAAAGTGAAAAATGGGAGGAAAGAATAGACGCTTTTCATGTCAAAGGCAATACCAGTATATTGAAAATTCAAAGGCAATGACAGAATATTGTCTCTATCTTGTTTTCCTCTGAAGAAGAGGGAGTTGTGTTCAGTTGTTGTCGAAATCGATAGTTTAATTCCAAGTCTACGCTTAATCAAGACTTTTTTTTCTAATTAAAAGTGTTTCGCAAACATGTTTTTCTTCTGTTTGACTGATAGATGTAGCTCCTTTTGTATGCAGGTTGAAAATATTTATGCTAATAATTTGGAGAGTCATTAGGTTATTTTTAAGCAATAGATGTGAAAAATGTGCAATGCGCTCGCCGGGATTCGAACCTGGACCTTTCGAATACGCGTTGAGTATGCTATCATTAAACCATGAAGACATGCAGAAAGGAGGGAGAAAATACCTTACATACTCCTCCTTTTAAATGACAACTGGGGATTAGGGAACCCAGTTCCAAATCCCGGTGTTGAAGAATTATCATCCATCACCTTTCTAGTTCTGGCGCCACTTTCATTAGGATTTTTGAATTAGGAAACACAAAAAATGAGCAGTGCCCTAGCCGGCACTCAAACTTATACCTGTCGAATACATGCTGAGTGAGCTACCGTTACACCACGATTATAGAAATGAGGGAGAAAGTAACTTATAACTCCATCAAATTTTGAATAACGTAGTCCTCCAGTTGGAAACCCGAATTTTGAATTTCTTTTATTATCTATTTCATATTTTATAAAACTATAAAGAATTTTTTAATAAAAATCTTAATAATTTCGAAGCGAGCAGTGGCATCGCTGTAAGGAACAAAACATTTTTATCTTCAGCAGGCGAGTCTGCCCATCGGAAATTCTAAAGCTATGTTCTTTTAAAATATATTTTTTGCACAAAGTGGCGTTAGCCCAAATGCTCTCCAAACGTCTCTGTATGCGGTTTATGGTCTGCAAATTAAAAAACGCTCGTTTGGGCGTCATCTAAAATCTGAAAGCTTTCAGTTGTTTCTAAAAATTCATTTAGAAAATATAAAAGATAAAGTAAAAGAAACTGCACTCCGAATGAACAAATAAAATAACACAGAAATTTGCAAAAAAAAAAAAAATATAAGGATAGTGAAATTTCGAAAATTAAGAAATATTTCGTTGTCTGTTCTTTTTTATAACTTCCCATCAGGATTTTTTTAAAGTTACTGCATCACACACTTAGCAGTAATAAAAATGTTTCCTGTTTTTTTTTCCTTTAATTACAACGATGTTTGCGTTTTTACTTCCTTGTACGAAGTAAAAAGGAAGTATTGTAATCGCGAAAAGTTTCAGGCAGCATATTTCAACGAAAATATCCATTATGACCGCTATCGAATGCAATTTAACGATGTTTTTGCGTGATATCTGTACGTAAAAACAGAATAAAAGACTCGTTTCCTCCAAAAATTTATAAAACTGCTTTAAAATTAATTCTGAAGAGAATTTTTCGTGCCGTTTGTACGAACGTATGTACGTACGTGCGTACGTACGTACGTACGTATCTCGTATAACTCAAAAAGGAGTAGCCTCAGAACCTTGAAATTTTGTATATAAGACTGCTATAATATGTAGATGTGCACTTCGTATTTTGGTTGCAATCGGCCGCGCCAAACATATATAAATATATTTTATATATTATATCCACTCTGTTACCCGGCTCAGTGATCTCAGTTTTTTTTACTTTTATTGTTGTAAATTGTACATTTTTTCCTTTAAAATGATTGAATTATGGTGTTTTTATCTTCGGTTAAGGTTTTTATGCCTTTAGTAAATCTGTATGCAATATTTTAGAATTATCAGCAATTATAAAGTTGTTTAAGTGCCGCTAAGCCTTTTTTTTTTTTTTTTGATGGCGGCCGTTGATTGTTTACATTTGAAACAGCAGACTAGTGGATTTATAGCCAATCTAGAAAAACTTAGCTTCGCAACAACAAAGATAACGCTTTCATTTATTATTGCGAATTAAATCATCCTTAATCCTTTCTGGAATTTTTTCGAGGAAATAAGTGTTTAACATTTAGTTCGTAATTTTTGATATAGATATTTTGAGTTTTTATGTATTTTGTCTTCTCGCGAAAAGAACTGAATTAATTGAATGAGAAATACTCAATCGTTGTGAAAAACTTTTTTTTTTTGTTGCTTAATTTTTTTTATACATCATTCTAGCTTTATTATAGTATTTGAAAGCCATGTGCAACATTAGATAATAATCTTTTAAAGGATAAATTTTGTGCATGCTGTAGTATAATATTAATGAACCTACGCCAGAGTCGCTGTTAAACTAGAGTGAATTTAAAGAATGCTTTATTCTATTGTGGTTTATGCGCTGTCGGCGAAGTAGATTTAATTCAATCCAATAAGTTTAAATGAAATGGAAGAAAAAATGCGTATAATTTAATATTGCGTACAAGTAATGTGGTGTACACATCAGATTTTTTTAATTATAGATAATTTCTTAATCTGAATTATATGTAACACGTATTTCTCATAGAAACTTAACTTTGAGAAACTCGATTTTGCCGTACGCGAAATGTATTACTGACGTAACCCCGCGTACGGGAAAGTTTACTATACAACTTCGTTTAATTAAATTTCTCATCTTAAAAACACAACTTATGATTGCATGTTTTTTATTAAAATGTATAATGATAGAAAATTGGTACTTACAAATTATCTCGTCAATCATGAGTGTTGGTGGTGATCCCGCGAACGTTGCGCCAGATATTCTTAAGGAATCTGAGTCGCAATTTTACTTGAACTCGTACAATAAAATATTATCCAATCTCCCTACACAATCCACCGGATAGCCACTAATACAGAAGTATTCAACTTGCTTCGTTTTTAAGCTTCTTAGAAATATTTTCTTCGATTTTTACTACTTTGTTAGATCTCCGGATTTAGCGAAAGCTTGTAATAATTTCCCGCAGGTTATTGTTTAAACCCATTACTGTTTGGTAAACTATACCAAATTGTTCTTACTTTCTTCCAAAAGATGCTAATTCTCTCGACCAGCTGTAAAGGAACTGGAGTGCAGCCAGAAATGCAATTTTAGAGCTCTCAAAGTCTTTGTTTTCAAATCTAAAGAAAAATACAATAATAACATATAATTTTAAAAATAAAATGTGGCTTATTGAGAATCAAACAGGATTATATTAAACGAAATCTTATTATGAGTGTGTTGTAACTTTAAGCTTACCCATAATTGGCATTATATCAGCCTGCTTGCGACAGTTTAACGGTGTTGGGATAATACAACACTATCGAAAAATTTTGTCTACTCATACTCAATATATTGCTTAAAATATATTAAAAATTAATATTTTTCTATTATGTTTCAGTAATGGCAAAAGGTGGCGAGACAGAAGAAAAATACTTCAATCAGCCTTTCATACGAAAGCTGTGAAGACTTATATTCCCATATATAATGAACATTCATATCTACTTGTAGATAAATTGAGAAAAAGAATAAATGAACCATGGATTGATGTTGAATATGTTCTGACTACCTGTTCAATGGATATTATGTTTCGTGAGTACTTGAAATGCTAAAGATTTTCATTAGTTAGTTATCCAATTAATTTCCACTATCACAAAAGCTTTAATATTGAGGTAGGCGCGAGTAACACATACCTACAAAAGTATAGGTAACATTACCTAGAAACACAGCAATCGTAATTGAGATAGGCGTATACCATTAAGAATAAGATTTAATAAGGAGAAGTAACATAGTTAGATACAAATACTTAAAGCACAGTCTCAACGCACAAAACTAAAAAACTCGTGTTGGGCAAAACTCGTCTCTCCTCGTCAGCCCGTAGGGTTGCCATACAGGTTTGCGTTCAGTGTTTACTGTTTCACCAATTGGCGGTTTTCTCTTTGAGTTTATATCGCTTGTTTGGCGCTGCCGCTGCAATATGTTTCCACTTGCGTATAGTAACTTTCCAATCTACTTCAGTTTAACCAAGTCGTTTTTTACTCGTATATTTAACTCAGTATCTAATTTCATACATACAATGCATACGTTATGTACGATAAGTTTTTTCTGCTCACTATACTTTCAGATTTCTGATTCTTGAAGTCTTGCTTTGCTGAAAAAAACCAGGTAGGTGGCAAAGCCCTTCATGGTAACACACAAAATAAATTTTTTAAATTTCGAAATACTTCCTTAAAATATTAAGAGACTAGCACTTAAAGTACTTGCACAAATGTAAATTAAATTTGTCTTGACTATAAAAAAATAAATTTTCTCTGACAATAAATAAATAAATTTTCTCTGGATCGTAGCTGCTCTTATTCCGATGGCATTATTGAACCATTCATTTTTTTACAAACTAGTCCAAAGTCAGCTTCCGAAACTTGCAGTTGTGCATCCTGCGTCTTAACTGCTACCCATTGCCTCTATCATTTCTTTCAGAAAGGTAACAGGGTATCAAATAGAAAAAATTTCTTTATATTTTCTCTCTGCTTACATATCTCACACTCACTTCAACTGAGAGGTACAATGACAAAAGCAATTGATCTATTTAAACCTTGAATTGCATATAGGAAAGACATATCCTAAAGCATTTACTCTTAATTAGAAATAAATAGCGCACCAGCGGCCGAGCGGTAAAGTCGCTGAACACTGGTATTTCGGTCCGATGTTCGAACGGGCTGGCTGCATGGGTGTTTTCGTGGTTTTCACCATGTGTAACGTGTATACGAGCCAGTTAGCCTTAAAAAGACCTCCACGAAGGCCTCCCTTCCCTTA